CCTTTTAGATTGGATTGCAGTTATAATTGTATGTAGTTTCTAAATTAAACTTATTTTTATAATAATATGTAAGTGAATGATTGGGGAAAATGGTTGTTAATCACACAGTCATCCAGTATTTCTATCTGTTATTTCTTCTTAAGAGACAGGGGAGTAATTAATCTGATCTATGTGTTCAGGATGTGATCCTCCCGGGAAAATGAAAGCAAGAAGTTCAGTTGGGGATAGCATAAATGAAGCAGATGTTGTCAATTAAGACAGGAAGGGTTTATTGGCTAATACCTCTTAGCCAATGCATCTTTTTGATATAATAAAGAATTGTTGTTGTGGAGCATTGAAAACATTTGTAGCTATAAAACTCTGAAACATATATTGCTACTTCTTTTAGCTTACTTGTGTGAAATATATTTATATTATGGTTGGAAGAAGGAAACTGAAACTTTTGTGATTTGAGGGAGTCAGTTCTGACTCCCTATTTGAGGAAAAGGAAGCAAAGCTGGACCCACCAATATCTCTATATACAGCCATTCCTATTGGGTGCTGCAAGGGAGCTATTCTGCTGTACTAACTGGGTGTATTCTTATTCTGTTAGCTCAGAATCTGAAATAAAGATGTTATATCTCTCAGATCCATTGGTCCACAGTGTTCTTTCCATATACTTAACCACTATTAATAATACAAATAGAATGTGAGATTATACTGATATTTACTCAAGGTAAATCTTTCTTGCCTTGGAGGATTTAAACAGAATTTCTGTAGGACTTTTCATTTGGCAGCACTTTTCAGTGTTATATTGCAATAATTTATTTTCTGTATCTTAGAACAAAGGTCTCCAACCTTTCCGGGCTTGTGGCCCAGAGAGAAGGAGAACAGCTTCTAAACTGGTGCACAAAGGGCTGCGCACACCCGCCCGGCACTAGCTACCCCATTCACGCCCACACACATGCACAAATAGGGCTGCGGATGCTAGCATGAGTGGGAGGGGATGTATGTGCACACACTGGCCAGCCATTGCCGTGGCCCAGTAGTGGGCCACGGCCCATAGGTTGGGGACCCCTGTCTTAGAAGACAGGCATTTAACCTGGTATTGTAAAAGATGAAATCAGAAAAGCTAAAGGTCATTGTGAATTGAAATTGGCAATAAACCCTTATAGATAGGTTTCTTCAAATATGTTTTTCTACAGATAGGTTTTTAAAAAAAGAATCGGCAAGCCAGCTACTTGAGAATCAGTTTGGTGAAAGCATCAGGCTAGAAACTGGAAGATGCTGAGTTTTAATCACACAAAGGTAGTTCAGTGACTTTGGGCCAGTCTCTCTCTCAGCTCTAGGAAGCAGGCAATGGCAAGCCACTTCCAAAATCTTGCCAAGGAAACTGCAGGGATTTGTCCTTACCGTTGCCAGGATTCAAAAATTAATTTGAAGGGACACACACATAAACACACACACACACACACACACACACACACACACACACAAAAGTAAAGTATTTGTGAACTTCATTTATCTTTCATCATTACAAAACCAATAATGTTTTCTGCCTCTATGTATATACTATGAGATTGTATCCCAAAGATACTAAAAAAGAAATGACAGATCTGAAAGAGACTGCCTTAGAAGATCTGCAGGATAAAGACTTGAAACAAACCTTATCTGATGGAGAAAAATTAGAATATACAAATGATAAGCCAAGAGAATGATCTGGACAATGATTTCTTACTGGCTTGTTAAAGCCCCAAAGATGAGGAAGTCATTTTTTGGGACACTGAAATCTAGATTCCTCTCAGCAAGAGGTTGGACTCGATGCCTACATGCCCCCTCCTATATCCTCTTGGCAGAGGAGTGTTGGAAACAGATATGTTTGACACCTTTTACTGATTTCCTGTAATTATTTTCCAACTTCTTTCTCAATATTTAAATTTTTGATGAAAGATTATTATTCATAATATATAACCAGGATAAGTAGAAATTTTAAAATTCCTGCTCACAAGCAAAGAAGATTACCTGCTTTTCATGTTTAATTCCACTATTTGGTTCTGGAGCAGAAGTTAAGACAGACATGTCAAACTCATGATGTCACGCGGGGTGGGTGCAGCTTCCGCGTGACTCGTCCGGCCTGCGGGCCAGCAGTTTGACACCCCTGAGTTAGGATTATCAATCTTAGATTCCCCCCGTTTTTGTTTCATTGCTGATGTTTTCAACTCCCTACTTCTCATATTATTAAGGGTATTTATTCACAGTTCATTACAAATTTTTATTTTAAATGATATTTACATTAAGGATAATGGAAAACATATAAAGGATATGTAATTAAAGGACATGTAATTAAAATACCAGTTAATCTCCTTTTCCCAGCCCTATAATGTGTTCCAGAATACAATGCTCTTTTGTTAAAATAATTCCCTTTAAGAATTTAACAAGGATATGTTAAAATAATTCCCTTTAAGAATTTAACAAGGATATATTTTTCTTTATTGATGTATGATCTTTAGTTGGTCTCCTAGCATGTTATTAAGTACGGATTAGAAATAGCATTGGTCTGTTGGAACCATAATTCTTGTAATAGGATAAATAGCAAATAATATTTAATTTCTTTCTTGTGAACTTCTGACCTTGTTGTACTGAGTTTAAGATAAATACAAACAAGAATGGTCCAGTGGATTTTCTTGGGGAGATGGTGCCTGAGCCAGACAAGAGACTGAACAAGTCTCTTCAGAAAGAAAATTATTATCTTTCAGCATAAAGATTCCTTCTCTAATGAAAAGAGTTTGTTTTGTTTTTTCTTAGTCTTTATTTTGTTTTTCTGATTCCCAGGAATTATTCCCTCTCTATATAGTTCTATTTTATGCACCATTCTGTAATCTGTGCACTTATTATGGCCCCATATTCCCAATACAATATCTTCTTCCTACTACATATAATTATTTAAAGTATCCTAATCTGTTTTTCCTTTTAACTCTCTCTGGCATCTTCTGCAGGACCCCCTCCTGTCCAGTTCTTCATTTTGAAAGTCTTTGGCATCTGGAATGTCAGGCTTCCGGAATCCTCCTGCCTTTCACCAGCACCTTTAAGGCTGCAGAATGGCTGAGCTAGTTGCAGGGCCACTGACATTATGGTGGACATTCATGTAACTGCACCTTCCAGTGTTCACCTCTCATCTGTTCTAATCATAAATTCTCTTATTTCCGACGGAGTGGAAAACAACAGCCCAATCCCTAGTTTACTCCATCAGCTCTCTTCCTCCCCAGCCTCAGCGTGGCTTAAACATTTAGCCTCCTTAATTTTTTCCTTCACTTTTATTTCTGTGTAATGCTGCTCACTGTTCCTCCAGGGTTAAGAAAAACTCTTCATCCCCCAAATTGTTCAGCTTGATTTCTATTTCTGTTTTTTTCTTTCTTTTTCTCTCTTATCTGGTTTTATGGGCCTTCTTCCCATTGGCTATCTGCTTGCCTTCCCTCAACTGAATTCTGCACGCGCGCGCGCGCACACACACACACACACACACACACACAAACCCCAAGAGGAAGGAGGGAGAAAAGGGACTTGCCATCAGCCACTGTTTCCCCCTTTTACAAATGGACAGGGCAATACTTACACAGAAGTAAATCCTTCCAACCTCAGTTGAAAAGTAGTCATAAAATGGTGATCTAAATTTTCGGGGGGGGGGAGGAATTTGTGAGTATAGAATTATTTGCTCTTGTGCTACATGGTTTTAATGCTACATTATTTATTTTTATCTCGCTTTTATTATTTTTACTACTAATTCAAGGTGGCAAAATATCCAACATATCTTCCTCCTCCTATTTGCTTCACAATAGCAGCTCTGCAAGATGGGTTGGGCTGAGAGAGAGTGACTAGCACAAAGTCATTCAGCTGGCTTTCATGGATAAGACGGGATTTGAACTCATGGCCTCCCACTTACTAGCCTGGTGCCATAACCCTCAAGTCAGTGAGTGACATGTCAATGAAAGTTTTAGCATGTATATGCCAGTTAAGTCCTGCTACAGAGTTTTATTGGGTACAAAAAGGTTAATGCATTTATACATATCCCCTTAGTTAGCTATCTGTAGTGCATTTCTGATCATCCCAGTATATACTGTAAATCTCCCCAACCACACCGTAGACTTTTAGGGCTGAATTTACATGAAGTGTATACTATACATAATTAACATTTGAAATGATAGTGGTCATATTTACTAATATTATTTATATCTATTCACCAATTTGAATGTTCTGATTTTACCTTTGAAAATGATACTTTTTATATTATAGTCCAGGCATTACAAGGAAGACTATAACAACTTTATATATTTCATACTTATTTCATATGTGTAAGAAGCGAATGCTTCTTTTTATAGTTTAGAATATATAACTAAAGAATAGCAGCTAGTTAATATGTTTCTTCATGTATAAATGTAATAACACTCATAGTTGACAGCTAGTGTCTTTTCTTCTGTATCAACTTCTCTGGGCCTTGACATAACCTTTTTGGTTAGCATCGTACATTATACCATTTTTACACCATTTACAACCATTTTAACTGTTTTGCTGGATAAACTACAACTGGCAGCATTTGCCCAACAAGTTACACTATAAGCCAGACATGGCCAACCTGAGGATCTAGAACCACACACCAACTCAAAGTATTTTTTTTTTGCAGCCTTTCGTTTAATTAAAATTAAATTAACATGAAAATTATTGCAAACTCTTAATTTTATGATTGCAAGGAGACTTGAATCTTTATCATTGTACATTTTTATTCTGAAATAATCCTATCTTTTGTTTAACTGGAAAGGTCTAGAAGTGATCCTGACAGGAAAAATGGTACTGTTTTAGCTGTCATTTAATTATTATTTGTCTGGAAGAAATAAGGGAATAATCTGCAACAGAGCAAACTACTTCACTGACACCGCAATTATGGGAGACTTGGACTATATGCATCATGCAGTAATGGTTGAACATCTTAAAGCCAGTAGTCTAATTAAACTTTGTTTTTGCTGTAGGCTGGCAGTGATGGGGAAAGTATTGGAAACTGCCCATTTTCTCAACGTCTCTTCATGATTCTCTGGCTAAAGGGTGTTATTTTTAATGTTACCACTGTGGATTTGAAACGGTGAGTTATAATATCTTTTCTCCATGTATTTATTTTTAATATTTATTTTTAATATTAAATCTTTTAAAGCTTTCAGACCCAGAAATTATATCCCTAACTATTCAGAGAGGTACTTGTAAACTTTCACTAATTCCAAGTGACTTCTGATCAATTCTTTCACTGTCATGAAATAATTGCATGTTTTTGCCATCAAAATTGGTGAAAAGGTGCAGAGATGTGAGGCATGTGGAAAGGTACAGCAAAACTTGAAACTGAAATGGAAGAAGAAACTGAGAAATCACATGAGGAATAAATTACGGATAAAAGGAATAGAAGATATAAAGGAGCAAAAAAGCACTAGGAAGATGCTTAGAGTTATAATTTACTTATCTTGCTATATTTCCAGTATTTCTATGCTACTACAATTACGTATCTCCAGACAAATCAATTTTTTAATAAATAGATGTAACTCTCTCTCTCTCAAAAAAAAATAACCCACTGCCAATCAGTTAGGAACAGAAGGTTAGATTTTAGCTTCCCATGCCTGCTAGAAACACCACATATGTCCTGTTTTGTAAAACATGACTAGAATGAGGGCTGGCAACATATTGGGGGAGGGCAACATATTTTGAAGGTCAGGGTGATGATAGAGAAGTGTTGGTTTTAGACTCCAATCCTTCACCTCTTCAACTGAGTTCTGCAACAGAGCATTAACTCCCACCTGTCCAACAAATGGGACTTGGGGGCACAAGAAGAGGATGTTAAAGGCTTCTCTGTGTTGGCCAATGTGTGGGAAAAGAAGAAGGAGCATTTTAGGTATAAATTCATGACTATATCTTCGGTCTGTTCAGAGAGTGTCTGTTTTGGCTGCCATTCCAGAATTACCATAAAGATTTAGTTCCTAGCCATGCTTGTTCTAACTTGGCGGGGGAAAAAACAGGATTTTTTTCCAAAACACTGACTAGTATCAAAGCATTTTAACCTCCTTTGGTGCTGTATGACAGATCTCAAAATGACTGTTTTGGAAAAACGAGACTTCAACAGTGCAATTGAATGAGAAATGGTTAAACTTCCACAAGTATAAGATTTCAGGCAATTTCAGAAGATCTCAAGAAATATAATCGTTTATTAACACAATACAATTTTTAATTGATAAGGTACTGGTAATCCATTTCACAGTTAACTTTTAGCAGAATAATCAACCTATCTTTCCCTTCCTCCCCCACCCTCTGCCTCACCCTTATTTAAATTCTGTATCAGAATACCCTTTCTATGTGTCTGATGAAGAGAGATCGGATCACTAAGCTTATGCCTTTTAAGAAAATGTGTCAATAGGAAAAGGTGCTACCAAACCTCTGATTTTTTTTTTTTTTTTGCTTTCCTCCTATAATGTTAGATTTGTTGTGGTGTCAAGACCTGACATGAGTACTGACATTGTGTTAGTCACTTTCCCAGTCAGTTCATTACTTCTGGATACCATCAGTTCTTGGTCACAATATGTTTCAATGAAAAGAGGAAATCACAATTTTTGGGTCCTCCCAGCTGCCATGAAGAGAAAGAAAACCATGTTTCCCTATTTCTTTTCCCCCACATTTCCCAGAAAATAATGAAAAATATATAGTGGATTGTTTAGAGTTGCCACCATCTAAAGTGTCAGAGGGAAGCTTAATCAACCTATCTCTTTCTTTAGTTGGTCAGAATGCTGAGAGAAGACATATTCTTTCAAAGCCATATTAGGATTGCATCTTTCAATTTCCACAAAGAAGAATTGTTTTTCTGTTAACCCGTTTGTAACTCCTTGAGTGACATAATTGATAAGTTTTGCTAACTCCCTCAACCCTCGGCTAATTAAGCGTGTCATACAGACAAGGAAAACATTTTTATTTAGTCTGAACTAAATGTTATTTACTTCCAATAAATGTACTATTAGCAATAACAATTTTAAATTCCAAGGCAGGTAGCTGAACTAAAATGCAATAATTTATACAGTTTACCAGCTTTTGTTTTCCTCAAACGAGATATTTCTTTTTTTGTATAGGAAACCTGCAGACTTACAGAAATTAGCTCCAGGAACAAATCCTCCATTTATAACTTTTGATGGTGATGTTAAAATAGATGTAAATAAAATTGAAGAATTTCTAGAAGAAAAGTTAGCACCACCAAGGTATAGTATTCTGTTGTGCTACGATTAGTTTCATATTATACAGAATGAGTGTTGAATATTCTTAAATAATTGGGTATCAAGAGATCATGGATTGAAAAAGATTAAAGATGGCTAATGGACAGGTAAGGGATATGAGTGGCACAGACAGTTAAGTTCTATTTCAGAGTTTCAGATAAAATGCTGAAAAATAATGAGATGGCATTAAATTCTTATGTATTGAATTTTTCAGATATCCTAAACTTGCACCAAACCATACAGAATCTTATTCTGCAGGAAATGATGTGTTTGCTAAATTTTCTGCATTCATAAAAAATACAAGGGAAGATGTCAATGAAAGTAAGTATTATAAACTTTGTATCATTATTAGTGGATATTTATAATGTTATTTATTGATATATTTATATTTGGCACTTGTCTTGGCCTTTTCATGTGAAGAAACCTTTGTTTCCACTCTCCAGTCCCATATATCCTCCCCAGTCCAACCTCCCCCAACTGGATAAATATGTAAAGAAAAGTGGAAATAGTAGTCTAGGACACAAGAATACAATATAGTGGTTATCCTACCAAATTTATTGGACTATAATCTATGCTTTTTTCATAGCAAGAGAAATGAAAGCATAGAAATATATATTTTGAAATCTGAGAACACTTCCACGTGGGCTGTTGCACTGCTACAGTTTCGGTAGTCATCCGTGTTTGGTACCTATATCTATTAACTCAGCTGTGGAAAATCCAGATTTGCAAAGACCAAAAAACGATCATTTTATTTGCATTAATAAATCTTTTTTGCAGAACTTTCAGATTTGTTTATTTCCATAGGCTTCTGCTAATATAGTATTTAAGTCACAGATCCCTTACAAGAGAAAAGTACCTTATTTACAGGCCTCCACAACAACACTCAAAATTCTTTTTTACACATGAAGTTAGGATTGCTTGACTCTGTACATGTGCTTGCAAGTGTTCCAGCATGCCCAGTAGCCTAAGTAAAGAGAGTTGTGGATAAACTAATAAAGAGGGTTTTAGCAAGGGCCTAAATATAGGCTGTGGCTTCTGGATTTTTTGTTTGCTTATTTTTTGAGTCACTGACTCAGAAATGGATGGGATGTGTTTCTGTTCCGATATGATGATTCAGGAGATAGTGAGGTAATTTTCATTGCCTTATATTATCTCTTTCACAAGTTACCCTTGAATTAACTTTCAGTGCCCTGTTCAAGATGCCTTTCTATTGCCATTTATCTTACTCCTGCCTAGATTACAGTCTTTCAGCAATCTGCAACCTTGGTTACAGCTCCGGGGAGAGAAGAGTGCTTGGTTGCAAAATTGTCCCAATGCTATCTTATCATTATAGCTAGCCAAGGATTTTATATGCAACAGCAGCTTCAAAAACGCTCCTTTATAGTAATTTATTTTATTTGCTTTTCTCTTACCCCCACTTTTATTCATTTACTTTCTTTTCTAATTAGTAGCTAATGTTCTGTGGCTGCTGATCATGTTTCCTTTAGGTTATTAAATGTTAAGCGCTCTCCTTCTACCTGATTCATTCTCCATTTCGCTACCTGAATATACCTATTTTTTCTCTCCTTTATTCTGTTCGTTACCATTAAACTTTATCCATTTGTTACTGCGGTCAGCTCAAATTCATAGTGCAAGGCCTTGGTCCCACTTTTCTGAAAACTGTATCTTCTCCTTTCTCCCTTATGGGCAGCTTTGCCACTTGTAGGGTGCACATGTATGGAGGGTTAAGTAGGATCGGCAGTATTTTTTCAAGTTATTTTCTCAATATCTTTCTATTACAGCAAGTATGAAATCTCTCAAAGTATGCAGACTGATCTTTCTCTTCATGGTTATTGCTGTTTTGGCTACCTAATTATCAGTGAACAAATAGTGAATTCCATTTTTTCTCCTTTTTTCATTGTAGATTTGGAAAAAACATTGCTTAAGGCTTTACATAAACTGAATAATTACTTAAATACCCCCTTGCCTGAAGAAATAGATGCCAATAGCACTGAAGACATCACTGTTTCCACAAGGAAATTCCTAGATGGTGATGAACTCACATTAGCAGATTGCAATCTCTTGCCAAAGCTTCATATCATCAAGGTTTGTCTTTTTTTTCCTTTATGTGAAAATGAATAATGCATGCAAGAATAATTCCTCCTTTATATTTATTTCATAGTGAATACTTCAAACTATGTTTGCATGTGTGTTAATGAAGTATTTATTTATTTGTCATATAAACCGTGTTCAGAAAATTATGTCAACTCAGATTTGCCTCGCATTTAATATTTTAAAAACCCTTACTTTAACCTGAGTCTATTTTATCCCTTTAATTCAAGCCAAACAATTAATGAAGACGAATGACCAAAAACTGTGAATCTTCTATTTTTTCCAGATTATGTGTTTTTCAAAGAGCAACATCTAAAATACCTTTTAGTGCTACATTAGAGTTCAGTTTGTACAATTTTCTATCACCATATTTTTGTTTTCTACCAATTACATAAGAACAGTACTCTATTGATAATGATTTTTTCATTTATCTTTTTTTAAGGTTGTGGCAAAGAAGTTTAGAAATTTTGAATTTCCATCTGAAATGACTGGTATCTGGAGATATTTGAATAATGCATATGATAGGGATGAGTTCATTAATACATGCCCTGCGGATCTGGAAATAGAATATGCCTACCTGGATGTTGCAAAAAGAATGAAATAAATCAAGAATGTTCAATGTCTTATATTTCTTACGTGTTTTTTTTTAAAAAGAAGTCAAAAGCAAAGCATCCATTCATTAGCAAGGTTAAAAAAAAATTAAAAAATGGACAATTTTCCTGGGCTAATGATTTTATTAATCTACTTATTACAATGTATAGTACAGAGGATTGTGTGTGTGTGTGTGTGTGTGTGTGTGTGTGTGTGTGTGTAATTGTGGATATGCATATGAACTAGATGTGTTGTATGTTAGGTTTCATAACAACTAAAAACTTTCACAAGAACAGTGACATTTACACTATATAAAAATTATAAGTGTTAGGCTTCTGGTAATTATTTTCCTACATCACAAACATGAGAGGTTAGGTAGAGCTAAAATTTAATGAACTTAACTGAAGCTATATACCTTTGCTATCCTTCCAGATCTAATAAGAACACTGAAGAATAGTTATGTATGCTGTTCTGCATATAAATTATGATTGCTTAAAGTCATCCAATTTTATACATTGATAATAGGGCACAGAGGATTTGATACACTCCAGCTTCTGTGGCATTGGGAATAACAACTAAAAGATCTCAGATATGTTTACATAGCATCAGGCACCATAAAATTAAATCTAAATTAATGAATACATACATAAATGCTTTATTTTTAATATTTTCACCTTTGACATATGAGATTCCATTATTTTCTTTTACCATTCCTGGAGGATTTCAGCTTTTTCATCTGAAATTTATATATTAATGCCAAGTTCTTACTATTCCTTTGGTCTAGTGCAGGGGTAGGCAACCTTGGTTCTTTTATGACTCATGGACTTCAACTCCCAGAATGCCTGAGCCAGCATGGCTGGCTCAGGCATTCTGGGAGTTGAAGTCCACGAGTCATAAAAGAGCCAAGGTTGCCTACCCCTGGTCTAGTGGCTAAGGTGCCGGGCTAGAAAGCAAAAGACCATAAATTCAATGAGACAGCTGAGTGACCTTGGGCCAGTCACTTCCTATCAGCCCAACTTGCCTCACAGGGTTGATGTAGGGAAAATAAGAGGAGGGATGTCTATGGAAATTCTCAATCATCCAGATCATGGTTGTCCCAAAGATGCTTTTCAAAAGGCAACTGGACTTTGTTGGTTTTTTCCCCAGAAGACATTTCGCTTCTCATCCAAGAAGCTTCTTCAATTCAAGGAAAAAACCAAAGTCCAGTTGCTTTTTGAAAAGCACCTTTAGGATAGGAGGAGGAAGGTGTTGGATATGTTTGCTGCCTTGAGTTAGTGTAAAAATAACTGAAAAATAAAGGTGGAATATAGTAAATAAGTAAGTAAATAAATCATCTTGCAAATGATTGGGCAAGTTCATTTTGGCCTTATTTTATTTTAAATTATTTGTTTATTTGCCTAGATGATGGGAACGCCACAAAATCTTTGGTGCCTGCAATGTAGAAATTGCATTGGCAATTTGTGATCTGTTGTCTTTCATTCATTGAGTTCCAACCACAGATAGTTGCACCCGTGCAGTTGTTTTACTGAGTTCTATATCTCTTTAGACCAGTGGTTCTCAACCTGTGGGTCGGGACCCCATTTGGGGTCGAACGACCATTTCACAGGGGTCGCCAAACAAGGCTGTCCGCCATTTTTTCCCCCTTTTCTTTGGCCACGCCCCTGGCACCCGGTGATGTATAAGTGTTGGGGGTCACCACAACATGGGGAACTGTATTATGGGGTCGCGGCATTAGAAAGGTTGAGAACCACTGCTTTAGACCATTCTGGTTGCAGATGTAAATGCCCATTTTCGTATTATGTGGCATATAATCCCAAGCACTACTCCATCAACTTCCAAGCATTTAACAGTTCATTTACTTACATGGCAGATGTCAAAACTCCTAATCCTACTGTTGCCTGCAATGGAAGTTATTCTTTAGTGAGAGAAAGTCAGACAGCTACTGAGACGGCCTTATTGTTGAACTCATAATCCCTTTGACTATGAGGGCACATTTTAAATGGACATAGATTCCTGTTCTCATTCAAATGTGTTACAGTCTTTCTTTTGTTTCAGAGCTATTGCCAAATTGAGTCTTTGAGTAAGTCTTATAAAGAAGAAATTACTTCATTTTCTCTCAAGATACTTGGAACAATAAAACAAATGTTGCTTATGTAAAATTCACCAAATATGATCAGGAATTTATGGAAAAAGAAACTCTTTAATTTCATATTTGGAACACAGAACATCTTATGCAAGGTTTAATACTTCGATGTAATAGCAAAAACAAGCTACTATGAATTCTCTACAATATTTGCATCGAGGACTTGTCAGAGATATATTCACTTTCCATTAACTTTGATTTAATTCTGTGAATACAGCACCCACCCTCCAAATATTTTACTTAAATAAACCAGCTTCATTACACAAGACATATAGCTGGTTTGGTGGTTCACATTCAATAGGAAAACTGTTTTTAAAAATCCATAGAGGTTATTAAAACTGAATTCGCTGAGTACATTGTAGTAGCTAGGAATTACCTCTATGGCTACCAAGAAATTTTACCTCAAAGTTGAGATCTCTATTTCGTTTCCATTTTTTATTACTGGGATAACATTTTTAATGTTTGCATTTTTTACTCTTATTTTACACTCATGATTAATTTAACACATAATTAAATTATTTTTTCCTTCCCCTATCTGCAATCAAACCAAGACTAATGCTATGTTTGATATATTACACAGGAAACAAATATTATGCTTATGGTGAGATGGGTGGCAAACAAATTTAATAAATAAAAATAATTCAATCTTGAAGCATATGTAAACAATACAATTAAGTATTGTAGTTAATATACCTTATATATTTGAATGTAAAATATATAAATTAAGATTTAAATATGTTGATCGGTATTTTAAGTTTGTACTTACTAAGTCTAGGGAAAGGGAAGAATTAGGAAACCATTTGTATCAAAACTATTACAATTAAATATATGTGATTGATTTAAATAGAAGCATTAGCCATTTGCTTAATATTATTTCTAGGTTCAATATCATTTCAAAAAGTGTAACCATGATTTATTGTGAATAAGAAGAAGGACATTGTGCTCTTACTAGACTTATAGAAAAAAACTGAGCAGTTCATTGTACAAGTTACACTTCTTGAAAATAATCTTTTATTAGTTTGTTTCATAATCAGAAATAAGAATGATAAAACATTTAAATCAGAATATTTTTGGAGTAATTTTAGTAAAAATATAAAACGTTCATATAAAGTTCAGCTCAAAGAAAACTACTGCCACAAGTAGCTATCCATTTCCTGCTAATCAAGTACCAAAGCAGCACCTTGTCACTTTGCAAGCAGTGTACATAGCCATTTATAAGTAAATACTGATTTTTTAAAAGAAGATTTTGAAAGGTGCTTGTGGATTCTCACGTTTTGTGTTTTATATTCCTTATTATATAGTCACCTTGCAATACTTTTTATTCCTGAACAGAGATGTTTTAACAATGCTCAAGGGTCAATGGGTTTCCTAATGTCATCTGACTTGACCATGTCCTGGTCAAAGCATTCTGCTATATTTACTAATTATTGCATTTTTCCAAACTCTATTAGCAAAATAAATATATTAGCAGTGCTACTGTTCTTACTACTGATATAGTGAATGACAGCATGTCACATAGCAAAGAAATATAGTTTTCCAACCAAAATTTCATGGACCATAATACCGTATATACATCTGTCATGATACCATTTAAGGCACAAGAGCCTGAAAAATCTATTTTCCAGACACACAAAATTCCACGCACACAATTACAATGTTATACCAACACCGAAAGCTATATTTCTCAAAGTTCTTGATATCTGTGAATTTTGCAATATTAGCTTTTTAGACAGGAGAAAAGAGATGTTTGACTGGCAGACTGCAACCCTTCTCGAACATTGAGGCTGCTCCTGGCAAAGAGGCAGAAAGGATCAAGATAATGGTTCAAGATTCAGAGATTTGTGCATGGACTTGGAGTGGTGTTTAGATCACATTGCACAAATATTAAAGCATCAAGAACATTAAAATTACGGTGTTGCAACTGAATAAAGAAAAAAAAGGGAGGCTAGTAATTTTCTGAGACTAAGTCCAAATTATGCAGCAAGAAATTTAACAGTTGTAAATTTGGGGTGAATAGAAGACTAGAAAAGTATATGTGTATAGGCCAAATCTATAATTCAGATCTATTTTGGACATAGATTTGTTGCATCTAAAAGCAGCATGTGGCATATCCTAGGCCAGTGGTTCTCAACCTTTTTAATGCCACGACCCCCAACCGGTCGTAAGTCGAGGACTACTCAACTGGTGCAGCACCGTTTGCAGAATGGGACTTTTGGCGGGCTCAGCAGGCAGAGACAGCCTGGACAATTCCTATTGGCTTTTGAAAGCCAATAGAATTAGACTCTATTCAAGAGAGTCTATTCTATTGGCTTTCAAAAGCCAATAGAATAAAAGGGAGTAGCACAGCTAAGGAAAAGGGGAAAAAAATGGCAGACTGCGTTGTTTGGCGACCCCCGTGAAATGGTCATTCGATCCCAAATGGGGTCCCGACCCACAGGTTGAGAACCACTGTCCTAGGAATTTCCCAGTACCTTCTATGAATATCCTCAGTCCTAGAGAGCCTATGTTTTTTTCCCCTATTTGAAGAAACACCTATGTTGTCATCCAGAAAGATGTAACACTTTATTCCTGTCAAGATTCCATCAATATGCCACGGTTCATATAAAATTATTTTATTATATTATTATATTTTTAAAAAATAGTACAAGCCTTAAATACTGAGATGTGTTTTAAATATGTATGAACACAAAGGTCAAATTGTTATTTGCACTAATCACTGCTTGGAAGAAGTCTTCAGATTCCGAAGATTTCATTGTCAGGCTTCAATTTTGTAATCACCAGAATGGTTTACTGAGTCGACACTTTCAAGCAATTACTTGCTTTGCACACAGTATTTCCAAAAACAGGCTGGAATAGAAAAAAAGATCACTTTAAAAGCCCAATTAAAGT